AACTTAACCACTACGCCACTGGGCCGGCCCCAGCAATTTTTACTTTTATTTCATCAGTCTGTCCCGTTTCTGTTGCCCTGAAAGATCAGTAAGCATAAGGATTTTTTAAATTTAAACTACAATTTTATTTTCTGTGCTTCTTTTGAGAGTGTATCTCTGGTAATGTTCCTAAGAATGGCACCACTTTAGAAAAAGTTTCAAAGAGTTGTATTCAGGATAAATCGTCTTTTTCCTTTAATCTTGCAGAGAACCTTCTGAGGCTCCAATCACTTTTGATGCAGATTCTTTTCTTAATTATTTTGATAAGATTTTAGGTAAGTTACAGTGTGACGTTTATTTTCATTTTGAAACAGAAGTAGTATGGCTGTTGCTAGAGCACTGGAGCATTGGATTTCTCAGAAGTCAAGATACTGCTTTCTCTTCATGATTCTGAGTTGATTTCAACCATGGATTACTGCCCTATTGAGTGATTTTGCAGAGGATGCCTAACTCAGTGGCTGACATTGTAGCTGCTCATTAAATATTTGTTGAGTGCGTGAATGCTCTGTGGTTAGAGTTTTACCTTGTCTCCCATATTACATTGTTTTTTCTCTTTTAGACTTAATTCACTTACACACTAGTAATAAAAAGACAAATAGCCCAATTAAAAAATCAACAAAAGATATAAACAGGCAGTGCCTCAAAGAAGAAATATAAAAAGTCAATAAATATTTTAAAATAGTTAACTGTTTCTAGTAAGCAAGTAAACACACAATAAAAATAAGGACTCTTTTTTTTGCCCATCATATTGGCAAAAGCTTAAAAGATTGATAATAACCAGTTTTCTCAAGGGTTGGAAAAATGAGCACTCTTCATACTGTGAGGGTAGAAGTGTAAGTCATCTTTTCGCAGGGCAGTTTAGTACTCTAGAATGTTCATAACCTTTGCCTTAGCAATTTCACTTCCAGGAATTTACTCTATGAAAAATATATGTGCAAAGATGGTGATTGCAGCATTGGAGTAGCAAAAAATTGGAATATTCTAAATGTCCACCAAGAGAGAAATGGTTAAATAAGTCATAGTACATCCATATTATGAAATACTGTGCAGCTTTATTGAAGAATAAGTTCCATCTATAGGTTTTGACAGAGAAGGACCTCCAAGACATATAAATAAGTGGAAAAGCAAACGATAGTTCAATATGTATAACTATGTTTTAAAAGAAAGCTATGTTTATATATGTATATGTACAGAACTGCATAGATAAAGGTCTGGATACCCACCAAACTGTTAAAAGATGGTTGACTCTGGGAAGAGTTAGATGTGAGACAATTCTGTATGGCTTGAATGTTTACATCAAAATGTATTCATGTATTATATAGTTTTTAAATTTTTAGGTAAAAAATTTTAATTAATTAAATTCACATTAAAAAAGAAAAAGGTGAATCTTTCAGCTCATCCTGTGTACTTTTCTGCAAATACCTGCCAGCAACACCATTTTCTGGAAGGGGTTTTTGTTAAGTAGTTTGCCTATGTATATTGATTTTTTTCTGCAGATAATATTCTAATTCTCTTGAGAGGTGTAATCACTCAAAAAAAAATTTACGAAGTGGCTCTTTCTGTGTTGGGGTCTGTGTAGGGCCAAGGCCTCATGAGTCAGACTCTGATGATCTGGATGAAGACGACTTTGAATGTTTAGAAAGTGATGATGACTTGGATCTTGAAACACAAGAGCCAGGGGAAGAAGCGTCTGTAAAAGGAACCCTTGATGATCTCCAGTCATACATGGCGCAGATGGACCAGGAACTGGCACATACCAGCATTGGCAAGAGTTTCACTACCCAGAAGCAAATGGTATGTCTGTGTTTAACCTCTGTCTCCTTCTGAGTTTATTACAAAGGATAGCTAAAACCATATTTTATCTTAGTTTTTCTTTTCTTTTTTTTTATTTGTGATAGGTTTTTTTTGTGATGAATTTGATTTTTTGATTTGAGATAAATAAGAATGTTAATTTTTTCCTAACTCTGGTAGGATGAAGGATTATTAACTTTATTTTCCTAAACATAAGCTTAATTATATTACTTATTCTATTATCTATGAGGATTTAAAATAAAAAGTCATATGATGTATTGATATTAGTATGTGGTTGCATACTACTACTAACAGCTTAAAGTGATTTTTAAAAAAGAGAAAGGATCTTAAATTTCCAAATAATTTTCAAGTCTTAGTAGTGTTTGTTTCATTTATTTCCCTATTTTAGAGCCAAATGTAGAATTCATCTTCCACTCATGTTTTTATCCTAGTTTTTATACCAGCACTGTCTAATCCTAGACAGAGACATTATGGAAAGAGAATGGACTCTGGAGTCTCATGGATTAGGGTTGGAAATCCAGCTAAGCTATCCACTGTCAATGTAGCCATTAACCAATAATCTTCATTTCATAGAATTAACATGAGAACCAAATGAGATAATAGTAAAACCCATAATGGGCCCTTAATTAATGTATTTTCCTTGCTTTGATCATCTAAACCACATTTAAAACTATATTCACTACCAGTATTGCCAAAACCTAATAGAAACCACACATTAGATGTATCTAAAGCAGTGTTTCTTAAATGTTAATGTGAATACGAACCACCTAAAGATCTTGTTAAAACATAGATTCTGGTTAAGTATGTCTGGAGTGAGGTCTGAGATTTTACATTTCTAACAAGCTCCCAAGCGATGCGCATGCTGCTGGTCCAGGGACCACAACTGAGTAGCAAAGATATAAAGGTCTAAAGATCAAGGTACAATCTTTCAAATCCTTTCCCCAACCTGTGAAATCAGAGGCTCAAGTAACAATTCAGAGTCTTTGTGGTTGGACCTCAAAAGCCTCAAGTTTTTACTTGAAGTTTTTTCATTGGGAGGAAAAAAGGAAATCTAGATTCTTTCGTTTAGAGAAAAATTTAGATTTTTTTTTAATGTTCATTTTTTTAAAAACTCTTAGGCAAGCTATAAATATACCTCCTTAACCCTGGTTATCTTCTTTGGCCTATTTCAAAATAGAGAAGAAATCCTTTCAATTTGTAGAAACTTTTCCTAGAAAGAAGTGTATTATAATCTTTGGAACCAAATTTTAATATGTATGTTAAGTTACATAGTTTATTAGATCTCATTTTTACCTTCTATCAGGAAGGAAAAGAAATTTCCTTTTAATTTGGAATTCAATTTTATATTGTTGCTTAGTTAGCTTTTTATTGTAACCACCATCCAACCTAATGGCATATTATTCCATGATTTTGTTTTCTCTTCATGAATAAGGAAGCTCTGTCTCAGACTACCAATAACAATTCAGATGAGGAAGATTCTGGTGCAGGAGAATCTATTATGACACCAGTGGATGTAGACCTGAACCTGGTTTCAAATATACTGGAATCCTATAGTTCCCAAGCTGGACTGGCAGGACCTGCTTCCAACCTCTTACAAAGCATGGGAGTGCAGCTACCTGACAACACTGATCATAGACCCACAAGTAAGCCAACAAAAGATTAACCAGCAAACCTAGCCTCTCTTTTTCATTCCTTAAATAAATATCGAGTCTGATTGTGCTCATGTCGAGTTTAAATTACTCATTTAGTAAAAATGTTTCTTCATTACAAGTTTCGCAGATTGACTTCTCCTCTATGAGCCCCAGATGTTGCCCTCTGTGCACAAGTCTTTGTGATCTCAACAAGGTTTTGAAGTTGGCAGAATAGAGAGAATAAAGGCCCTGGATAGCCCCTGAGATGAGATTTACACACTCTTGTGTTTAGGACATTGTTTATCTTTATTGAGAATTAAATGTTGGCTAGAGAAAGGAAAGTAGATAGGCAAAATTAAAGAATTCTTGAGTTGCTTTTTCATTCCAGTTACCCATGATGACCTTGAGCCAGGCTAATTCTGGTGACAAATACATTTGTTTGAACATTTTACTTATTTTTACTATTCTACTTCATGGACCCAGTGGGTTCTTTTTATCCTTAGCACCTTCACAATTCATTGCCACATAAATATTCTGAAGCCAGATAAGCCCTGTACCAAATTTTCTCTTATTTATATGTCATTCTTCGGTACCCCGGCCCTACCCACTTTTGCCTCAGCTTTCAGAAACCCTTGGAGTCCTGAGAAGTAAAGCCCTCGTTCCACTCACTGTTGGGAAACAGAACTCAACGCTGCAGATCCTCCTGTTAGCCACTGTTGGGAAACAGAACCCAATGCTGCAGATCCTCCCGTTAGCCACTTTCTTCTTTTCTTTCCCAAAACAACACATTAATCCAAAAGCAAACAGTTGCTCCATGGTATGTCTGAGAAACTCGTAACCAGGAGTCCTGCACACTCCCCTTTCCATCAGTATTTTCAGACTGGGGATGTGTACACATGTGCTCACAAACACACCCACATAGAGAGAGAAGATTGGGAGATAGTAATTCACATGGACCCTGAACTGTTTTCTTCTAACTGCAAGATATGAAGAAATCTCAGGTCCTCTCTTTCAAGAGTGTTTTCCCTTCTACATGCTGGGTTCAGCTCAGGTCAGGGCAAGCTGCCAATCTAAGAGGACAATCAAGTCCCATCACACATTATCCCTCAACATTTCCTGCTGACGGCACTTTTGATTTCCCCAAAGCAATGATGGTTTGCTGGCAGTGGGGAGAGCAATGACCTTTTGGGATCAAGAGGAAATTCAGTGCTTCAACTTTTCTAGTTCTAGAATCTCTTTTCCTTAGTCCTGTGGGACTTTGATGTGTAAATAATCTTAGGGTCTCTGACACTTGTGTCTTTAAAATCATCTGAAGATATGACTCTTTCCCCAGCCATTCCTCTTTTCAAACAGACCTCTAACCATATTTCTTCTGCACATTGCTTCAGTCGTTCCACAGACTTAGAACCTGAACTTTGACGTTTGTCACACTAATAAAAGGATTTCTTTTCTCCTCCCACCTTAAATTCTTACTTTGCACAAATTCCTAACTTCATAAGACAGAAAAATACATCTGAATGAAAGTGTGGAAATTTATTTTATTTCCTTCAGATAATTTTTCTCCCCATGACAAGGTATAGGATGGCATATATAAATGATGACAAATCCTAAATTTAGTTTATCCCATAAAACTCAAAAAATGGTTCATCCTCACTAATCCCTTAGTTGAAGTTACAACACTTACTGGATGTGCAAATGCAGCAACCATTTTACTTAGGAAAACAGGCATGGCAAAATGATCATCTTTTCCTTGGGTCACAAACTGAGCAAGTAACTGCAAAAAAAACCTTCCCATCTTGAGCCCCACTGGGATGCAGTTACCTCAACAGAACATCATTGCCTCTGATATATTATAGAGTACTCTGATGAAGGCCTTAGCTCCCATTTTCCTCATCCCTTCAGCTGACTTAAAGAAATATGACTTTAATTTAACTACCATGTACAAAATAATTATCTGTATATGAATTAAAAAATGTTATCTTGTGCTATTTTTCTTAACTCTATGAGGATAAAAAGTAACTCAGTAGTGGGCTGAGATTTGCTCTATATTTTCAATACTAAGATAAAAGTTTTAACCAAAATTATGCCAGGCACATTTTGGCAGTTAGTATAAACCTAGTATTAACAAGCCACATGCCAAAAGATGTCTGCTTCCAAGGCCTAGGAGAAATGGATGAACAAAGACCTACATCTAAACTAATGCTTCAGCCTTCCCTCTGATTTTGACAATTGTCATCTCATCAGTTTTGGCATTTTTGATTGCCTATGAGTAGGAACTTATTTCATTAACACTGCTGGTAGAGGTGTCTCGCTGTAGGCGGCTCACCTTCTTCTCTGCCTTATTATGAGGTTGGCCTGAAGATGGCCTTTTGTCACCTCCCTTTTAGCTCCTTATCTCTGATATGTCCATCTGGGATACTGAGAGAGGAGTCTAGGTGGCCTGATCTGAATTAAGCAGGCAGGGCAGAACAGGTTGGTTTTTCTACCCACTCCTTAATCAGTTGGTGAGCAATGGCTAACTTGGGGGGCAACCAGAATGGAAAAGTCCCATTCTGTTGCTGAGTATATGGGTTGTTTCTCCTCAGGGCTGTAGCCACCTCATCGTGACTGAACCAGGCAGCTGCCTCTAGTTCTCTCAAGTTCACCTGGATCTGAAAGACATAAGGAAAAACAGGATGTACAGTTAGGAACTACAAAATTTAGAATAATGTGGCCAAACTTGAGAAAATGGTTCCAGAACTGAGCAATCTTAGATGATAATACTTGGGAGCTACAGGCTGGGAGGTACTCAGTTCTAGATACTGCCCAGAAGCAAAGGAGGCATAATTAAGATATAAGAATTAAATATATTTTTTAAATAGTTAAAAAAAATAATAATAACATTTTAAGAATCCTAGGAGTATAAATACTAAGATTTAAGAGTGGTTAACATTGAGGGGTATATTATGAATAATACTTGTTTTTCTTTGTGCCTCTATTGATGGTATAACTTTCAGTTAAAAAAGAACATGCAGGGTCCAGCCTGGTGGCACAGCAGTTAAGTTCACAAGTTCTGCTTCAGCGGCCCAGGGTTTGCTGGTTCAGATCCCGGCTTGTCAAGCTATGGTGTGGCAGGCGTCCCACATATAAAGTAGAGGAAGACCTTGGGCATGGATGTTAGCTCAGGGCCAGTCTTCCTCAGCAAAAAGAGGAGGATTGGCAGTGGATGTTAGCTCAGGGCTAATCTTCCTCAAAAAAAAAAAAAAAAGAACAGACAATGGCTGGCCCAGTGGCATAGTGATTGAGTTTGTGTGCTCTGCTTTGGCCCAAGGTTCATGGGTTTGGATCCTGGGTGCAGACCTACACATCACTTGTGAAAGCCATGCTGTGGCGTTGTCCTACGTGCAAAGTAGAGGAAGATTGGCACAGATGTTGGCTTGAAGCTAATCTTCCTCAAGCAGAATGAGGAAGATTGGCAGCAGATCTTAGCTCAGGGCCAGTCTTCCTCACAAACAAACAAACAAACAAATGTTACTCTTCTTTAAAGGATAAGGGTTAATTAATGATAATCAAAAGCCTAGTATCTTCTTTGCAAGAAGCAAAGTAATGCAAACTGCAGCCACAGGAATCTGAGACAGATTAGATATTATTCATTCTATAGAGACCAAAACACACAGTAGACAAACTTTGGCAGATAGGGACCACAAAGCCTCTGTCAGGGATGCTACAGAAGAGCAAAAGGAGGTTGGATAAGACAATATCTAAGTCCCTTTCAACCAGAAGTTGCTATGATTTTATGTTATTAGTCCCCAACATCCTGGCTGACTTAAGCAATAAGACAATCCTGAAATCAATCATTAAATTTTATATATTTATTGTGTGCTTACTCTATGCAGGAATCTCTAAGTCTTGATGATAAAAGATAAATTGTCTCATGATTGAGAGATATACAAGGAAGAATGGTGATCATCTTGGCACTACCAATTTTCATAGTGATTATTTGTTTCCCTTATGAGATTGCAAGTTCCTTAAGGGTATAAATCATATCTTAAACATCTCTGCATAGACAATGCTGGACTAGACAGGGGCTTACTAAGTACCTACTGACCAGCTTGGATGAGGCAAAGGAAATATCACAGCATGAGGAAAGAATCAGAACTTACCTCTGTTTGCCCTGGTTTCACAGTTGCATGACAGGCAATCATGAGTGAGCTATTAGGAAAGGGCCAGTGCTGGGATGCAGAGTACTGCAGTCTTTCCACCTCCAATCCCACCTCTTCTGCAACTTCTCGCCGGACAGCCTCTTCCAGACTTTCACCTACAAGCACTCAGATTAATTCAGGACAGCTCTGCAGCAGGAAGGGTGATACAGATGCCCATTTGTGAAAGGAGTACCAAACCGGCTCTAAAGTTTCAATGAAATACTCTTGGGAGAGCCCTAAATCTCCGAGTCTTTACAACAATAGGAATCAAATCTGGAGTTGGGTGTTGAACTGCAATACTTAAACCTACTAGGTTAGTTATAATGCAAAATAAGAGTGGCAGTGGGAGAGGCGAGTGTTGCCCCCAGCTTTAATAAAATTCTAATGCCATGTTTCATCATTTGCAAGTTTTACCCCAAGAGACTGAGAAAAAAACCTGTAAATAAATTTTGAATTCTAACTAATAGTATGCATGCTGAAATATTTAGGGAGAAGTGTACCAGTGTCTGCAATCTCTGCATCCAAAAATATGGTAGATTGATGGATGGATAGAGGAATGGATAGATAGGTGATAAAGTAAGTGTAATAAAAAATTATAGAATCTAGGTGGTAGGTGTATTGGTGTTCACTGTATAATTCTTTCAACTATGCTGTATATTTGAAAATTTGCCTAAAATATATTGGAAAATTATAGTACCAGAAGGCAGTTTTGGTGGGGGTTTTTTCAGTTATTTTATTGAGGTCATAATGGCTTATAATATTGTGTAGTTTCAAGTGTACATTATTATTTATCAGTTTCTGTATAGACTGCATCGTGCTTACCACCAATAGTCTAATTTTTATCCGTCACCATACATATGTGCCCCTTTACCCCTTTTGCTTCCCTCCCTCCCGCTCTGGTCACCACTAGTCTGTTCTCTTTATCTGTGTGTTTGTTTATCTTGCACATATGAGTGAAATCATGCAGTATTTGTCTTTCTCTGTCCGGTTTATTTCGCTTAACATCATACAGAAGGCAGTTTTCTTGACGTGATAAAGAACAACGTCCTTGAGACTCCAAGCACTGTGGCAGCAAGACAAAGAAATACCTTCTATTGATAAGCTTTCTTGTCCTCCAGTATCATCCCTCCATGCCCTAAACTCCTTACCTATATCACAAAAACCTGCCAAGGCAGAATACATTCCCTTGGGAAAGGAACTCTGGCGAGCAAGCAGGCATTGAGTCCCATCTGACACCAGAGTGATCACCACGGGAGCCATCTAGGAAAAGGGGATGGAAACTTAAACACTAGGGCTTTGGGGCCTGTTAATGGGATGAAGGAAAAGATAACTAAGGAAAGCCTTTTAACTGTTCAGGCTTCCATCCACAGGACATAGTGCACAGTAATCCACTTCACAGATTACTGTCCTTTTAAAGCAATGCCTACCTGTGGATAATAGATGATCTTATTGGAAGGGCACACACGCTTGCTGCCAGCCATATTCTTCTTGCTGGGCTGCCCACTTCTGCTGCAGAACTGATGGGCATCATGCCAACGGAGAAGAGCCTGAGCCTAGGAATACAAAGATGGGCCTGGTTTCATTGGGGAGAATGTGGGGCTCATCTGTAACAAGCTGGGCCTAGTATTTAGAGCAACTCAAAGGGAAATGCCAATACCTTTCCAGCTCACCTATTTTAAATGGTTATTAACTGTTTAAACTTTAAAATAAGGAAACTATCTGACCATATTCCTCTAGCGTCTGAAATATGAATAAAAGCATACTTTTAAGTGTATTATGAATTATTTAAAATATATAATATATAGGGGCTGGCCCTGTGGCCGAGTGGTTAAGTTCGCACACTCCGCTGCAGGCGGCCCAGTGTTTCGTTGGTTCGAATCCTGGGCGCGGACACGGTACTGCTCATCAAACCACGCTGAGGCGGCGTCCCACATGCCACAACTAGAAGGACCCACAACTAAGAATATGCGACTATGTACCGGGGGGCTTTGGCGAGAAAAAGGAAAAAAAAATAAAATCTTTAAAAACAAAAAAATGGTGCAAAATATATAATATATAAAGTATTGAACAGCCATTTACTTATGATCCAGCTTAAAAATAAACATTTCCAATATAGTTGAACACCCCAACATATACTGCTCCTCAATAAAGGTGGAATTTTTTTTGCAAATAAAGTGTTCAGAGGTTATCTCTTTAAGTTAATGGACAATCAAAAGCACTTTAGCAAGTAAAATCTAAAGCTGTGAGGACGAGTCATTAAAGCAATATAAAATAATTTCTCATAGGAAAAACATGATGACATATGTCATGCTGTGGGTCCTTAAAAATGTTTATGAGGCTAATAGATCATTGCCAGAGATTTGCATGCCCTTAGGAGAAAATGGTCCTGACAGCAGTCCTGCCAAGGGCGAAAGAAAGAAGAAGAAGTAATCTCCCTACAGCACGTTGTCCTTCTGCCAAGGTTTGTAGGAAGGACTATGATCTGCAAAAAAGGAATCAAATGTCACTCTAGCCTTGTGTTATGCACGCATGTATTCACCCATTATACACTGCTTTACTAAATTTCCTACAGAACTGAGAAATCAGAATCTACCGTGGATAGTAAGGAGGCATCCTTCTCATTCAGCTGAAAGAGAGCCTTCCTTAGCTCAATGAAAGACCCCTTGAGCTCTGTCTCCATTTGAGGTTTCTGTAAGGAAGCTAGAAAATGAGAAAAGGGATGAAATGAAACAAACGTCACACTTTGCCTCAGGGTCCCTCTCAAGTATATCCTGTTAGACACTGTTTCCCAAACTCACCTAATAAGACAACTAGGGAAAATAAAAAATACACAGGTTCTCAAGCCCCTACCTGGAGATTCTGAACTGCAGGTAAGTGAGGCCCAGACATTTTTATTTTTTTAACAAGCATCAGGTGATTTCTATATTCAGGAAAATTTGGGAAACATTAGACCATAGTATTTCTCAAGAGCCTCTTCAGGGCAAAAAGAACTTTTGCACTAGCCACACACTATCCTTGGAAAAGAGATGAAATGGGACCTCTGAGCTCCTACCTGAACCTCATTGCAGCATCATACATTTACACCTACAACCCTGAAAGAGAGAAGGAAAGCCTGACAGGAGCCATGAGCCTATAGCAAACTGGTTCCCAAATGCAAGCCTGAAGACTCAGAGCTACTCCAAGGTAGCATGTTTATTGACCTGTATTGATAAAAGAAATAAGAACGATGTCATGAATTTTAAAACATTTCCTATGAAATATTTAAGATATATAAAATGTATAAAAGTACAGAGAATAATACAGTAAGCATATGTGTACCCACCACCTACCTTAGAAAGAAAGCGTTAAGATGTCCTTTATTTTCTAGTAAATGATGGATGATACCAGATGGTAGTATTTTTTTATTTCCTAACTTAAAATGTATATATATATATAAAGTTGATAACCTTTCTGTATTCCCAAAATTTTCTTTGAAATTATGTGAAGCCCCAAAGTCTGAGAACCATTGGAAAGTCCCCACTAGGAATAATGTTATGTACCGTTTATGGGAGAGGAGCTGTTGAGAACCAGATCCAGAGCAAACCATGCTTCATGCTTTTCGGAGCAGCCAAGCAGCACCGAATCTTCTATTCTTTGTGTGTCCTGTCCAAACTTAGCCAGGAGCTTTTCCAACTCTAAGAAATAAAACAGGTAAGAAAGAAAAAGAAGTGTTTTAATTAAACCACCAGAGCCATGGTAGACTTAAAGGAAATCATCTACTTCAGCTCGAATTAGGTACACCTGGCTCCCAGTCGCTACCCTGTAGCTAATTAGCTATGTAATCTTGGTCTAATCACTTAACCTCTCTAGGCCTCCACTTTCTCAGCAGCAATCTGAAGAGTTTGGACTAATGAAGGAATTCTTTCTGTGTAACACTGTGACACTCTATGATTCTATCATGAAAGGAACATATCCCTTAGTTCGAAAGCTACATGATATTTAACTTATGGCACTGAAGAAAAAAAGGCACACTTAAAATGGTAGAGACCAAATCGGTTATATAATTTAGTCTCCAGAGTATGCTGCTTTAGTGGGCCAGGGTAGAACACTAATGTGAGATCCCAGCCTGTATAAGACAAGTGCCGTATAGGGAGAAAACCTGTCCTCTTGTGCATGAAAGACTCACGTTTGTTCATAATGCAACATAACATTGCTAAAGCTCTAAATAATGTTTAGTGCCTTCTGATGGCATCTTTATATTCTTCTGCACTGCTAGGAACTACCTATGCAAGCACTCCAACATCTGACCCAATGGAGGAAATTCACTGACAATGTATTTAGAAGTTAGTTTATAGTGATATCATATAAAACTGAAAGTATCTTGAATGCCAAATCCCAGTGACTTAGATATCTTTAGTTATATACCCTAAAAGAGTTCTCAAAACAAATTAATTTTAATTCACTTTTAATTTTGACCCTTCTAGGAGAAATGAAGTCATGATGCAAATCTTAAACAGTGTAACAGTGTGCAACTCCATGGAGGCTGGAAATCACTGGTCTAAGGTAGGGGTTGGCAAAATATTTTAGGCTGTTGAGTCATATGGTCTCTGTCACAACTACTCTGCTCTGCCATTGTAGTGCAAAAGCAGCCATAGACAATATATAAATAAACAAGTGTGGCTGTATTCCAATTATTTACAGAACAGGTGGCAGGTTCCAATTTGGACAGCAGTTTTGCCGGCCTCTGGTTAAGGCAGTAGTGGTTCATACCATCACACCAAATACTATTTGGGCAACTCAAGTTCATACACTAAATAATTAATTGGCAGAAGCAGTTTGAAAAATCTGGGCTTTAAAGTCGGAGGATCCTTCTCAGGATTCAATATGGACTGAATTCTGCTTAGAGGCTACAGGCTGGTCTACTCTACTGGTCTGCTTTGGGCTTACCTGATAGGCTATGCTGGGGGGCCAGGTACTGATGTTCTGATTTCTGAAGCAAAGGAGCCAGGCTATGAAAGAGGTAAAATGCTCCCGTCTGCTGGGCTGTTTTGCATGCATCATCATCTTCCTTCAGTTCTAATAAATACCTGTATTTTGGAAATAAAGCATTACAAAACCACCTTTAGTTACTTGTACAGCATTCATCTTTGAGAATTCTGTTCCCACATCCCTCTCCTACCACGGCTTTTTCCTTTTATTTATTTACATCCTAAATTGCTCTAAAAAGGATCTGAGGTGGCTTTAGGCAATCATTCCCTCCTTTACACTACTGTACCTTGTCCATACTCCTGTGGTTGCACTTAACGTTGTACTATTTGTTAATTTGTCTGTCTTCCCTGAAAGACAATGGTCTCCTTAAGGGCAGGGTCTGCCTTAGTTCTGTATCTGCAGTAATTAGCATATTGAATGGCTCAATTCAATAAATATTTATTTATTCAAGGGTAATAAATATTTACTGAATTGAACCTCAAGGTACTCTGCCAATATTACACTGTGAGGCAAGAATTTACATGCAGTGGATTGAAAGGAAAACAATACTGTGATAAAACATCAACCACAGATGCCCAGAGATGAGAGCAGACTTCATTATTGCAAAGAGCAAACACTGTGCCTTCAGTAACTCTCATTCAGTCTAGGGAAGATAAAGAGCAAATTTTATCTTCAATGCACCCATGTCTCATACATCTAGTCCCCTAAGTGGACACCATTTGCTCCTTATCTCTACTGAAGGGACCATCGATGGGAAAGAGAAACCACTACTTGACTTATTTAATAAGTGTAATATTTTCAGTAGCCCAAATAAAAATATGTAAAAGAGAATATCCTATAATTATCTTCTATAAAAGAAATAGTACTGGGGCAAGTTCTAGGCTTTTCCAGGACCTTCATTGAGGATGGTCTAAATCCAGCCCTTCAAGAACCTTGAGAATCAGATCAGGGGCCACACGATTCAAAGGGGACTGAATGTGGATTCTCCTTCTGGGGCCTAGAGTTAACCATTTTGCCTGTTGAAAGCCCTCAAACAGACTCTCAGAGATATGGCATATTTTGTCACCTAAGTGGGAAACACAGTTTGTAAGATATTTTCTGTAGGATCTGAGAGTTTTTGTAACACCAGTAGGCAGGGTTGGCTCAACATGAAACTACAAAGCAAAATGATAAACGCACTACAATGGCATCTTTAGAAACCTATTTTTGACTGTGTGATAAAAGGGGTTACAATGAGCTCTGTATAAACAAGAGAAAAGAAACCTGAGATTTTAATACTCGTGATATTTTTAAACTTATTATGAGTGATTGCAGCCTCCTGGGGCAAAGACTCAATGTATGTCAAAGGAGAGACATGTGCCACTCAGAAGTTACCAAATACAAACAATAGAACAAACACCGCTGCCTTCGTAAAACAACAGTAAGCACAGTACAACCTGTACTTTGCCCTAATGACCCTAAAAAGCAAAACACCCAGGTTAAGGTCTTAAACCTGGGGCCTCATTGGAACTGGAACTGAGATCCAAAGTGTTCCTTGCATTCTTCTTGATCAGGAACACTTTAAAAATTCATTTTCTTCCTTTAGTTGTAGTAGCATGGAAAACAACAATACTAAGATTATCAAATGTAAACTGTTTTTTCCTTATTATAAAAGTAATAAATAGTCATTTTATAAAAATCAGAAAATACAGTTATCAATTTTTTTAAAAAGGGAAACCATCAAGAATCCCACCATTCAGAGATGATCACTGTTTATACCTTGGAATTCTCCAAACTATTTATTAATATTGTGTGTGTGTGTGTGTGTGTGTGTATAGGTATATTTAGAATCATACCTACTAATTTATAGCCTTTTTTCTTAAACATATTAACATCTTTTCACACCATATTCTTTATTGATAGAATTTTATTTTCTCATGATTTTTGATATGCTTTTTAATATATTTAATCACTTTAACATACCCATGTTTTAGACTTTCAATAATTCTGTTTTCTCAGAGTCTCAGCCTGAGAACTTCAGTAACATAAATGCCCAAAATATCTAAAACAAGTATTGCAATTCTGTTGTTTTCTCACTCTTGTTCATGTAAGATTGTATGCTTACGTGCCTTTAAATTTTGCGCTGGGCAGTGATGTTTGGCAGAGCTTCCTCTGTGGGAAGCCCTGGTTGTAAGTGTATCCCTCTAGAGGAGTTTTACATTTGCTTCTGCAAGGTGCCCCGGGGATATTATGTCTAGGACTACTACTGAAATTCTTTTCTTAAGGCCAGGGGTGGGGCTGGCCTAGTGGCGCAGCAGTTAAGTTCGCACATTCCGCTTCTTGGTGGCCCGGGGTTCACCGGTTTGGGTCCCTGGTGCGGACATGGCACCACTTGGCAAAAGCCATGCTGTGGTAGGCGTCCCACATATAAAGTAGAGGAAGATGGGCATGGATGTTAGCTCAGGGCCAGTCTTCCTCAGCAATAAGAGGAGGATTGGCAGTAGTTAGCTCAGGGCTAATCTTCCTCAAAAAAAAAAAAAAGAAAAGGCTGGGGGTTTGGGGACCACACCATATAGATGGTGCAAATTTAAACTCCAAAACTGTATGAGAGCAGGCTAGTGATTTCAAATTTGCTCAGGCTGTAGAAGTCCTTTATCATTGTCTTGTACTAGTGTAGATTTTTTTTCTAGTCTATCTTTCACTGAAATTTAGTTCTTCAGGGGAGTGGTAGACATCCAGGGATGGGAGTTATCTACCTTATTTTCAGGAAACTTCGTGAACTGTTATTTAGTATAGTTTTTAATGCCATCATACGGGTGTACTATAATTTAATTAATTTTTTCCTTACTGTTCATTCATCCATTCAACAATACTGCAGTGCCTGCTATGTGCCAGGTACTGTTTTATGCAGTAGGGGTACCACAGTGGAAAAGACAAAGTTCTTATCTTAATATAACTTATATTTAAGTACATCAGACATTTTAGATACTGTTAGAAATTTAGTTTGTTTAGAATTTTTCCAATTATAAATAATTTGTAATGAACATCTTTATATGTAAATCTTAATCATACATCCTTAATCTTCAATATAGGATTTTGAGATATTTATAATTTATAATTTAATGGGAAAAAGATAGAATAAATCAGAGCTCAAGTTGGTCAAAACTCACCGGGTCTTAGTGACATAGGTTGACAGCAGTCTATAGCACCATAAAGATTTTCTCCTGCAAGCAATTCCACAGTACAGGGACATTGTCAGATCCTTGAAGGAAAGAGGAGTTAAAAAAAAAAAAAGATCATAGTATGCAAATTTAAAGTAATGAATCACCAAAAGTGTTATACTTTAAGCCAGGATAGGCTTACTTTTTAATATTAAGGAAAGAGAAACTGCATAGGAGTCAGATGATCTGGTTTCTAAACTGCATTTCTGCTACTAATGAGTTGTGGGATTTCAACTTTGCAGTGCCTCTTTCCTAACCTACAAAACTGAAACCTGTTCTGTGAGAATCAGCTAACTATCCACAAAAAATATGTGCTCCTCCTTACATACTGTGGAATTGGTGCTGGGAGGTAGCTGCCAAGTTAAGGCCTACATTTTTCTCCTCCCTTGTATCCAAGTAGGGCCCAAACTAGGTCTTAACAATGGAATGTGAGTGGAAGGGATGTGTATCTTTTCTAGGCTAAAGCAGTTATGAAGTGGGTATGCCTTCTCTATCCTCTTTTTCCTCTTCTGCTTGGAAGACTCTGGAATAGCAGAGCCATTAGGTGGAGAACTGGCTCCTTGAATCACTACATGGAGAAAAGCCACCCACCAATCAAAGTCCCTCTGCCTCAGCTATTTGTGAGTAAGAAATAAACTTCTGTCCTATTAAGCCACTGAAATTTTGAAGTTTGTTATAGCAGCTAGCATCATAATAGACCAAGTAAGCCTGGAGTGTCTCCAGAGTAATGGAGCTAAGTTTCTCAGACTACATGAAAACCAAAGTCTCTCTGAGAATGAAGCAGGAGGAATCCTGTAGATAAGAAAAATATAAAATTACAGTCATTAGGAAAATATTTCAAAAGCCAGCTATGAAAATCTAACGTGGGTCTAAGATATTTTCTATTTTTTGTATCTCATTGTGAGCAAAAAAAATTCTCTATCTTAAGAATCCGTTCTGCAGAAGGTGATTCCTTTTAAATTGTATACCAGTAAATATTTTATTCCCCATGAAAAGAACATTTCACATTAGCAATTAAAAAGTCAAGAAGTTCCACCAAAAGGAGAAAATCAGTACAGTTAAATAACCAGCCGCTCTTTCAACTGTGCCCAAGGTTAGCAAGCTAACACTAAATCACTGAGGAAAGTCTAAAGTTTAGGCCTACTTCTTGGTTACATAATTATGAATCACTGATGACTAATCCTTGGACAGTTTTGGCTACAATCTATGTCCTAACCAAGGGTAAAATATATATGGCAAACATTCAGTGAAGTATTTGTTGAGTACTGACTTTACTCAAGGTCCTTTAAGAAACACAAAAATGTACAGGATGAAAATCCTGCCCTCAAGGGACTCTATCAGGAGAGAGAAAACAAATATGTAACTTTCACAGAAGGCAATATGTGATTACAAAGCATTCTAGGAGAGTATTAAAAGTATAATTCCTATTTTAATAACCCACAGACTTGTGATATACTAGAAGAAATGTATTTAAGGTTAATATTTCTCTCTCATATACAAGTCTGAGGATTTAAATTGGTATAATATTTTTGGAGGGCAATTTGGTAATATCTATCAAAATGTTAAATAAGCATCTCTTTTACCTAGCAATTTCACTTCTAGGAATTTTTCCTAAGGAAAGGATATGTACAGGAATGTTAACTGAAAATTACGATAAAAGGGTATAATACACAGCTGTTCAAAATAAATAGGAAATAAGACGACAGTGGAAAAGTATATATGTAGTAAGAGGGAAACATATTCAGAATATATTATTAAGTAAGAAATGCAAGTAGTATTTGGTTGGCTTAGCATGAGCTAATTAATTTATGAAGAAAAGGACATATACATACCAGAATGCATAAATTAGATATGTCTTTATTTATATTTTTTAAGTGACTAGAAGTACACATACCAAACTGTTAACAGTGACTAATTTGGCAGAGTGGGATGGAGATAGGGATCAAGAAGGGTACTTGTAATTGTTACTTTATGTATTCCTGTACTTAAAAATAAATTTAACCATGTGTACATACTCCTTTAACAAATAAAGCATAAAAACATAGTAGTTCATGGGACTAACTCTACAATGAGGTACATTGTTCCTAGTAGCACCTCACCACATTCCCTGGGAACCAAAAGGAATTCCTTTGGTGAGTTCCTTGAACCCTGAGAACTGAAAGAGCTGTTTGGTTGTAGTTATGACTACCAACTAGCCTGTGTGGCTGACTGTACTTGGCTGCCTGACGTTTCGCCCAGCTTCTGCTACTAAATTAACCGTAGCCAATTGTGGATTATCATGGCGTGCTGACTCATGGGATGGTGGTCAGAGCTGGTAGAAAACGTAAAGTTCTTAATGTAGCTTTGGAAAAATATCATTAATCAAGAGAAAAACCAGACTTATTTTACCTGAGAATTGTACCTTCATTGGTACAGTCATAAACCTAGCAGATAAAGATTAAGTCTAATTCTTTTTCTAAATGGTCCCTTACATATTCTTTTTTTACACATCTTATACAAAAGCAGTCTAGAAACTATTTAAAAGTCAAGAGAAAATGATTTCCTTAAAATTCAGTTTTAACTGTATTTTTCTCTTTTAAATAGATCATTTAAGTTATAAAATTAATATAACTACATTACAGGACATCTGGAAAATGGAATTGTGAGAGCACCCATACTATTACCACATAAAGATAACTAATAATTTAACATGTATTTTCTAGTCTTTTTACATATTTATAATCAGAGGACACATTTTTTCAACTTGCTTTCATGAAACATGTCATAAGCAGTTTTCTATGTTTTTGTATAAACTTCATAATTTTTTGGCTGCATAATATTACATTCAAGTAGATTCATCCTGATTAGCTAAACATTCCTCCGATTTTAGACATTTAGGTTGCTCCAATTTTAAATTATCAGAAATAAAACACCACAAATACCTCTGTGCCAATATTTTCAAGTTACTTTTTTAAGTTTCCCAAAGTAGAATTATAGGGATGAAATTTATTTTAAAATCATATGGCTCTTCCTACACAATGTCACACTTGCAAGATTCAATAGTATTTGGTTAAAAAAAAGAACTTTTATTTTATATTCCTTTGTTCACTCTAAAGATTGAAAGTGTTTTCAGATTTAATAGTTCTAGTTCCCCTTTTGTAAATCGTCTGTTTGGTGTCCTGTGCTCATTCATTTATTGTGGTTTTACTTTATTGTGACCATTCAAATTTTTAAAATATTATAGTGCATTTACAGCATTTTCCACAATATGATCATCCAAATGTACTGTAGGAACCAACTGCTGTATGTATTGCCTTTCTCTGTGAAGCAGTCATTCTGACTGAAATAAGACTGTAATAAGCTCAGGCCTGCCTTCTATTTTGTTTACAGTGCACATGCATGTCTCTAAAGCAAGAAAGGGACAAGGAAGTCTGAAGAGACTCATGGACTTTTTATTCCTGGCTCTCCTACTATCTGAATTTGTGACCTGAGGCTGTCACCTAACTTGTCAGAGCTTGGTTTCTGTCTTACTTCTCACAGTGTGAGGAAGGAGAAAATACGGATCTAAAGTGTATTACAACTATGTCAGGTTTTAACATACCTAATTCTCAGATCTGTTGGACTATAAAATCCTTAAGAGTTGGGATTGCATCTTCCTTATCTACAGCACCTAGCACAGTCCCTATCACAGTTTGAAACACAATATATATGAATGAATGAATGAATTTATCCCATTTTACAAGTGAGGAAGATAAAGCTTTGAGAGGTTAACCAATCTGACATCACAATCTAGACAGCAGCAGATTCAAACTCAGGGCCATCTGGCTCAAAAGCTCACGTTTTGATAAGAAATACATGGGATAGCATTTTCCAACATTCATTTACTATTTATGTTTTTAAAAGTTGAAAGACTGATTGAGATGAAAGGTAATATTATTTTTACTGAAACTATTAAATGATGAGGCAAGGTCCTTAAGAGTAATGATTTCTTTGAACCGCCTGTAATAAATGATTCACATGTGTTTTTCCTCCTGTTCATCTTAACAGAAGAAAGATTAATTTATAAAGCACTACAGCATGACAAAAAAAGCCCATTTTGAATCTCTGGGTTACTTTGACCAAGAAGAGGCCAGGTCTGTAGTTTGAAAGAGCACTTTTCAGAGAGTCTGTCTTTTCATGACTAAGGACCTTAACGGGATGGGAAATAAGCAAAATTGAGAAGCCACTGGGATACAGATTTCAAGGTCTCGCTGACCAGCTTTATGGCTGGCTTTCTAAAAAATAATTTTTCCTCCCTTAATTCAAAAATCATTCAGGCACAATGCAGAAAAGCTGGCAAATTCCATTTTTAAACGGCTCTCCAAAGAAGTATCAGAAAATTATTAGCAGTAGTTAATAAGATAGCTCTGCAAGTTATGATGCAAAACTGTGGTCATTCCCTGGTTTCTGGAAGGAAGACGGACTAAGCTAAAATGGAAAAATGCTGTGACTGAGAGCTTTCTTCAAGGTCTGATTATGCCTCCCCATAAAAATCCTTCCCATACTTAGAAACTGAAGAGGTTTTTGTTCCGCTGCACTCACTCTGAATTCTGTTGGGGGCGCCTTCCCAGGCCTCAAGAATCAGCGGAAACCAGGAAATTCCAAACGTTCCTGGGAAGTTGGGCTTCCCTTCCCCAGAGGAACCACTGCAACCTCTGCCACACTTCCCAGAATCCTCCTAGCCATGCATTCTGGGAAATGTAGTTCAGTCTTCATGCCAGCTGCTAAGCTCTCTGAAATTAACCATGGTTGTCAATGCCTCTGCCACACTTTCCCAGAATCCCCAGTTGCACTCTGGGAATTATAGTTCAATCCCCAGGCATGCTGCTGTGCCCTCCAAATGCAGTTAACCATGGTTATCAAAAGCATGATCTTCCAAGATCTTCTAAATCGATTACCAGAAGAACAGCTGTATCTTTTGAGAAGGTAGAGTAGCATTCGATCCATTTTTGAGTTACAAAAGGATAATGTCATTAAACCCTCCTCATACAGAGAAAGTATATTTTGGTGGGGGAGGGAAGGAGTATTGGGGCAGGAAATCAGATACCTTTCAACATTTCTGTAGCTCTAATTCTATCTCTGTCTGCCCACTTTAGAACTAGCGCTAACATTTCATGAAATTCTGTCAATTTAAAAGGACAAGACTGTGTAGGTGTGTTTGAACTTAGAATGCATTCCTTGATCAACCAAGGCAAGAGGATTCTGTCTGACTGAAAGCAGTCTCCCAGCAGAAGTACTTTGGTGCTGCTCTCTTCTCTTCTTAATATTAAAGTTATTTGCTTATAGGAGAAGACAGTTTTGAAGGCAGGTCAACATATATTTAATGAGTACCAAATGTGCCTGGGACTGTTACAGGCACAGGATACAGCAGAGAACAAAACACATGAAAATTTCTGTCCTCGTGTAACTTACATCCTAGAGAAGGAAACAAACAAGCAAACAAGTAAATATACAATGTGTCAGGTGGTTATAAGTGCTAGGAAGAAAATTAAAGCAAGCTAAGAGGAGGGAGGATTTTGCTATTTTATATAGAGTGGTCAGCTTCATTGATAAGGTGATATTTGAGCAAAGACCCTGAAGGAGCTGAGGAAGGAAGCCAAGAGGATATCTATGGGAAGAGATTTGTTAGCAGAAAAAATCAGCAAATGCAAAGGCCCTGGGGTGGAAGGGTGTCTGGCAGGTTTGAGGAAAGGCTAGGACAAAGTGTGGTGGTCAGAGATGAGGTCAAAGAATAAACAAGCACCAGATCATGTAGGGCCTTACATGTCTTACAATTCTTATAGGGCCATTATAATGCTTTTAGTTTTTACTCTGAGAGGGATGGGATGTTACAGAAGAGTTTGAGCAGCAGAGTGAGAAGATTTAACTTACAGAAGAATCACTCTGGGTGTGGAGATTAGACAGTAGGGGATAAGAGTTATTAAATCCTGAATGTCATTGTTGATATGTACCTAAGATGCAGGGGTAGGAAGAGCAGTAGCTGTGGTTAGTTGACCAGCCATTTCTTTTGAACCTTTGCATTAGCACATGAACCCAAGCTTTTTATCAGATTGATTCATTATCCTTAAGGGAGGCACAGAAAATTTCAGGGAAACAAGATATAAAGTCAGCGAATTCCAAAGAGATGAGGAAGCATGTTTAGTGAAAGTTAGAGCTCTAATAATTTTTTTAAAAATCAAAATAGGGGTCAGCCCAGTGGTGTAGTGGTTAAGTTTGCACACTCCGCTTCAGTGACCCAGGTTTGCAGGTTCAGATCCCAGGCATGGACCTACACACCACTTGTCAAGCCATGCTGTGGCAATGTCCCACATACAAAAAATAGAGGGAGACTGACACAGATGTTAGCTCAGGGCCAATCTTCCTCACCAAAAATAATAGTAATAATAATAATTCAAAATAACTATATTTTTGAGCAATTAAGTGTTAAGTGCTGTAATAATAAAAATAGCTCTGAATGTTTGCATCCCCCCAAAATTCATATGTTGAAATCCTAATACCCAATATGATACTATCAGGATATGAGGTCTTTGGGAGGTGATTAGGTCATGTGGGTGGAGCCCTCATGAATGAGATCAATGCCGGTATAAAAGAGGCCTGAGAGAGCTCCCTTGCCCCTTTCACCATGTGAGGATATAGTGAGAAGTCAGCAGTCTGCAACTTGGAAGAGGGTCTTCACCAGAACCAGACCAGAACCTGACCATGCTGGTACCCTGATCTTGGACATACAGCCTCCGGAACTGTGAGAAGTAAATTCCTGTTGTTTATCAGCCACCTAGTCTGTGGTATTTTGTTATAGCAGACCAAATGGACTAAGATAAATAACTAAGATTAATTGAGCATTTACTGTATTCCAGACACTATGGAAAGTTTTCACATGTTTATCATTAATCATCACATCCTATGAGATATGTATTATTATTTGTACTTTACAGATGAGAAAATAGAGATTTAGAAAAGGTAAACAATTTTTCCCTATTTACACAGCTATTCAGTAGAAGGGTTGGGATTTTTAACCCAGACGGAACCTGTGCCTTTGACTACCATAATCTACTGTAGACCTGAATTATATCTCTGACTGGGTATGGGGCAGAGAAGCTGAACATAAATATTGGAAAATATTGGAATGATGCAAATAATCTCATGTTCATAGATTGAAAGACTTAATTTTGTTAAGATGGCAATATTCCCCAAATTGATCTACAGATTCAATGTATCTCTACCAAAATCCTAGCTAGCTCTTTCTTTCTTTTTTTGAGGAAGATTAGCCCTGAGCTAACTACTGCCAGTCCTCCTCTTTTTGCTGAGGAAGACTCGCCCTGAGCTAACATCCGTGCCCATCCTCCTCTACTTTATACGTGGGACGCCTACCACAGCATGGTTTTTGCCAAGCGGTGCCATGTCTGCACCTGGGATCCAAACCAGCAAACCCCAGGCTGCCGAGAAGCGGAACGTGCGAACTTAATCGCTGCGCCACTGGGGGGGGGGGGGGGGGGGGCCCAGCTAGCACTTTTGTACAAGCAACAAAAGAAAAAATAGAACTTCATCAAAATTTAAAGACTTTTGTGTTACAAACAATACCATCAAGAACTTGAAAAGACAACCCACAGTATGGTAAAAATTATTGCCAGTCATACATTTGATAAGGGACTTGTATCCAGAATATATAAAGAACACTTAGAACTAAGTAATAAAAAGATCACTGAATTTCAAAATGAGCAAAGGATCTGAACAGACATTTCTCTAAAACAGAAACAAAAATGACCAATAAGTACACGAAAAGACATTCAGCATCATTAGCCATCAGAGACATGCAAATCAAAATTACAACAAGATACCACTATACCCACTAGGATGGCCACAATCATAAGGGCAGATAATGACAAGGAGTGGTGAGGGTGTGGGGAAAATGAAATCCTTATATACTGCTTGTGGGATTGTAAGCAGTGTAGCTGCTTTGGAAAACAGTCTGGCACTTCCTCAAAAAGTTAAACATAGGGGCCAGCCTGGTGGTGTAGTGGTTAAGTACATGCACTCTGCTTTGCGTCCCGGGTTCGGATCCTGGGCACGGACCTACACACTGCTTGTCAAGCCATGCTGTGGCAGCATTCCACATACAAAACAGAGGAAGATTTGCACAGATGTTAGCTTAGGGGCAATCTTCCTCACCAAAAAAAAAAGTTAAACATACAGTTACCATATGACCCAGCAATTCCACTCCTGGGTATATATCCAAGAGAAGAGAAAACATGTGTTCACATAAAAATTTGTACACAGATTTTCATAGCAGCATCATTCAAAATAGCCAAAAAGGAGAAACAATCCAAATGTCCATCAACTGATGACTGGATAAACAAAACGTGGTATATCCATACAATGGTATTTTATTTAGCAATATAAAGGAATGAAGTACTGATACATGCTACAACATGGATGAAGCATGAAAACATTGTGCTAAATTAAAGAATCCATCACAAAAGATCACATATTGCATTTATGTAAAATGTTCAGAATGGGCAGATCTGTAGAGACAGAGTAGATTAAAGGTTGCCTAGGGGTGGGGGAGGGGGTAGCATTGGGAAGAATGGGGGGTGACTGCTAATGAGAACAGAGGTGGTTTTTTTCTTTTGAGGTGATGAAAATGTAAAACTGATTGTGGTTATGATTGTACAATTCTCTGAATCTACTAAAGATCATTGAATTACACACTTTCGATGGGTAAGTTGTATGTTATTTGAATTATATCTCAATTAACTGTTAAGAATATTCAACCAAATAATTAATTGTGTTAAACAATTAGACTGCATGGTTAGTAAATACAACAAATATGGTATAAATAACTAAAAGCCTCATACTTTTTTTAGGTCATGAGGTAAAAATGGTCTTTCCTCAGATATGCTTAAGTTCAAAGCAATGGCTTTTGCTTAATCATGTAGTAATGTAATAAATTAATACTGTATACTTTTTTTTTTTTTGCTGAGGAAGATTTGCCCTGTGTCAGTGTCACAATCCAATGTACACATCAGGATAGATGCGGAGAGGGCTGATGGCCACTCTGAGTTTATTATAACCAGCGTTTCAATATATACATAGCTTACATCTGTTAAACATACACAGGTGTTCTGGATGAAGTAATTAGCGAATGCCAAGAATTCTTAGTGATTTCTCAAGAAGCCCTCCCTTGCCTCTGTTTTGATATTATCATGTCATTGCTGTGCTCCTATATTTTTATCTCGGAGCAGGCAAGGTCTCTTAGGCAACGGTCCCTCCTGCTCCCGATATCGATATCGTTTCTCCATCTGTGCCCCTGGGCAGCCGCTGCCTGACTTAGGTTGCGCCCCCTGGAGGTCTTACCCGTCATTGGCTAACCGGCCTTCTCACCTCCGGGTCACAGTTTGTTGGCAAGCCTTTTCCAGTGATTATTAACCCTTCCTGTGTCAGGGGTGGCTACACCCTGAGCTAACATCTGTGCCAATCTTCCTCTACTTTTTTTAGTATGTGAGCTGCCAACACAGCATGGCCACTAACAGAACAGTGTAGATCTGCACCAGGGAACCGAACCCAGGCCTCTGAAGCAGAGCGCGCTCAACTTAACCACTAGGGGTGAGCTCCTGTACTCTCTTTTAAGGGTACAAACTGAGCCTCAAGTCATTGAATCTCAGTGTAGCTTTAGATGGTGAAAATAACAATGTATTTAAAGACGTGTATTAATTCGTTGAACAGATACTTATTGCAAACCTATCATGTGCCAAGCATCATGTTAGAATTAGGGATACAATGGTGAATAACATATTGTCTCTACTATCAAAAATTAATTATGCATATACATGTATGTATGGGATGTGTGTATGTGTGTGTGTGAAT